GCTTCGCAACATATAGCCCCAAATCAGGGAGCAGAAAGAGAGGTTTTTCACACTGGAACTCATAACACCCATGACCCACCAGGATCATTTAATCATAGGTGGGATTTTAACTGATGTAACTTTACTGTGGAATGGACAATGAGGAACCCCACCCCAGTCCTCTAAAAGGCCTAAACCGATCATCACCAGCTGACCTGTTAGACACATGGAGGGTCAAACATCCACAATCCCCCAAATACATAGGTAGGGTCAGTAATAACAGGGGGTGGCAGCGAGACTGGACAGGATCTACATATCTCACAGCTCAGTTCCAGATTAATTCACGTAACATAATCTAGTTGGCTCTTCCTGACCCATTTCATCATCACAGAGTTATCATTCACCAGCTGCAAGGGTTAAATCCTACCTGGTTTTTAATAACAAAGCTTCTTCAAGATAAAAAAATTAAATCGTTTCAGTTGGGTGGTGTTATGTTAAACAGAGGAACCACAAGCAGACACAGACTCGGTTGGTTAGGACAGAGGGCTGACTGATACAGGTTTTTAGGGTGATACAAAAGTGGGATTATCTTCATGACTGGGGAAGCTGAGTTTGACAGCTGAGTAATAATTCTTTCAATCTGAAAGGGCCAATGTAACGAAGAGAGAGTTTTCTAGACTCTTTATTAAGGGATTTCTCGGAGGGAAGCCAAACCTTCTGACTGGTTGTTGGCTGGAGCAGGATTCCGCCGACGATTAGGATTTGACGGTTGCGGTGTCTGAGTGAACGGCAGGCCCTGAGTGGAGCATCTCCCAGATCTGCTGCATAAACCCTCTATATATACATCAACTACCCATCCAACATTTTCATTTACCACAATATTTTCTTCATTCAGTGGAGGAGCCAAGAGAATGAGAATAGAAGAAAAGAGAAGGAAATTAGAACAGAGTGACCAGGAGTAGACCAACCCCATACTGCTATGTTATTCCATACAGAGTATTGAAGACTACATTTACTTAGCACTGGATCTCAGATTTTCAGATTTTGTATGGCAGGGATTCAAATGTAGCAGATTTGTCAACTAAACATTAATTCTGTGAACTCAGACCATTTCTACATCTTTTTAGGAGGCAGGAGTGACAATGAGTCATCCTCAATATTTGATGTGTTCTGGTTTCAGAACAATGAAGACAGCTGGAAAACAGTTCATTTTATCATGTTTTTCCCAAATGACAAACACATTTTTAGGCATTCTATTAACTCAACTGGATTGAAAAATAGTGCATACAGTTGCGGTAAATGGGAAAAAATCTCCTAATGTCTACAGACGTCCCTAGGTTTGGGCTAACCCCTGAATGACCCGGGGTCAGGCATTAATCCAAAAACATTAACTGTCAAATTGTATTTTGCCCGATATCACTCAGCAGAAGTAGGATGTGTGAAATCAGTGTGTGCTGCTTTGCTTACCGATCTGATGCAGGTTCGTGGCGATGAACGCGATGCGTCTTAAGCGCCAGGGCATCACGCACATCCTGAACGCCGCAGAGGGAAACTCCTTCATGCACGTCAACACCAACGCTGAGTTCTACGCCGGTACGGGCATCATCTACCACGGCGTGCCGGCCAGCGACACCGACCACTTTGACATCAGCGTCTACTTTGAAGAGGCAGCAGACTTTATCGAGAAGGCACTGGCATACAAGAATGGAAAAGGTCAGAGGATAACGCAGCTGGGATTAACTGAAGTTGAAATCCTGTTTGTCTGTGGCTGCTTGATATTTAAAAAACGTATTAAATTAAACTGATCTGATGAATACACCAACTATGAGTCCGTTTTTTAGAACTCATAGAAAATGAACTGCTGATGGTGGTGAGACAGCTACTTTGAATATCAAATAAAACATAATAGACTGTACATACATACCATATGTAGAATTGGGAATGTTATATGTTCTGGGCTAGAGAAGCATTATTTTTAAATAATTATAATTAAAAGTCAATATTAAAACTATACTAATCAGTAATTATATATAAACAACAGATCACATGACTGTAATGTGAAATGGTTGACTCAAACACACAGATAATTATCACTCGAGTCTGCGGTTCCATTCAGCTGTATGGAACTTTTGAGCCTGTTGTAGCTCATTGCTTTGATTTTCCGGCCCTTAAACTCAGCTCAGCCTTGTTTCCAGCTCCAAGAGAAGCTATTCTCCATGGTAATCCCACTGTACACTACCTGCTCAGCACTAAACAGCAGACAGAGACAGGTAGCGACTAGCTGCTGAAGGTAGTGGAGTGTTTAGCAGCTAAAGAGCCAGAGTTAGCTAAAAGAGTAAAGTTTGGACTTACTTTTGAAAGGTGGCCAGAAACACAACTCCAACTGAATGCTAATGTTGCTCTGCTGGAATGTTCTGCTGGAATTGCAAATAGGCAAGTGTTTGCTCACACATTAGCCCTCACTCTACTAGGTGTTTTCACCTTGCTTGACTAAAGCTGACATAAATTAAACAGTGAAAAGCAAGATAAAGTAAACTGTAAAAGTAAACAGATAAAAAATGAATGAATTTTGGTTTGTTAGCTAACATGTTAGCCAAAACTTTACAAGGTGATGATATGCCAATATTTAGTTTATAGCTCTTTCCAGTGCCATTGAATTGGCAGCTTTAAATCAAATGTAACTCAAATGTAATATTTAAGATAGCACTGAGTTTGTTCAAACCTGAACAGTTGTAGGGCGCACTGATAGCTTAGGAAACTCAGGATTGGAACCAAATGCAAGACAGGACAGGCAGCAGGATGACTTCCATGATTTATTGTAGATAACTTACAGGCAGGTAAACAGATATAAGTCCAGGAAAGGCACAAGCCAAGATGGCAATACACGGACGAAATAACAGCCAGGGACAAAACCAACAAACAAGGTAAAAACAATCAGAAGTGTACCCCGGGGACAAAAACAAGATGACTGAATCCACAGGCGAGCGGAAGTATAATCAGTTACAATCAAAACTGGAGGGAAAACTGTCAAAGACAAAACCAAAACAGTGACATTCCCCTCTCTCTCTCCCCACTTCCCTCCCTGTATATGGCTGCGTCTGTATAATAAAGGCAAAAAAGCCCAGAAAATAAAAAAAAACGTCTTTTCTTCTGCAGGTAAAGTGTACGTTCACTGCAGGGAAGGCTACAGCCGCTCGCCTACCTTAGTCATAGCCTACCTGATGCTTCGCCAAAACATGGACGTCCACACCGCCCTGGCTATGGTGCGTCAGAAAAGAGAGATTGGACCCAACGATGGCTTCCTCCGGCAGCTCTGTCTGCTAAACCAGCGGCTGGCTGCAGAGGGAAAGTTCTGGAACAAATGAGGCAGACGAGGAAGACTGTCTGTGCGAGAGAACAAAAGTACTGTATGCACAATTGCACATCACTTTCTTTCACTTGTTCTACAGCTTTAACGAGCCGCAGAGCTGTGAGATGTTCTAGATGTGAGTATCGTGGATAATGAAAGGCTGACAGCACTGAGTGTATGTATAGTACAAAACACTACATACAGTATTTTCAACTAACACTGGTGATACCATATACTGATCATACAATGTAATGTGTAGAACCAGGTGCACTGCATTCACTGTATTCTGAATATTATATTTATCTTGGTTCAGGTCCACGTGACATTTAATAATCAGTAAGTGTATTTTTATGTCCTGTATAGTCTGATGTGTTTTCCTGCTGCTTACTACTCCAGAGAACAATATCAAAGTATGAAGGGAATGCTCATTTAAATACACTCACTGTGGGGAAGAAATGATGGTGTAACTGATGTGATGCTGTCATCGCCTTTTCTCATCCAGCCTCCATCTCTCTTCCCCCTCCTGGCATTGTGCCCTTTGTCTTAGCCTCACTCTTGCAGACACTGCCGATTCTCTCAGTCCCAGACACTCCCAGAGGGGATTTCAAGTGGACACTGTGATTTTTTAATGTTGAATCGATTGAACTTTCAGGGTACAGAAGGATGACATTAAAATCATTTTTGTCGTTTTAGAAAACTGCACCGTCTTCGACCTACAGTATATTGCACTCAAGTCTAGAAGCCTTCCTCAGAAGTTTGTCTCAGTCAGAAATGTGTCATGCTGTTATGGTGCTTTATAGGAATATTTTGACACTATTTCATACCGCAAGATTTCTACTAGTAAAATTGAGATGTTTTGATATTATCGGAACAGCAAGGAAAACAAGGAATAGTTTGGCATTTTAGAAATATATTCGATGCTTTCTTGCCCACAGTTAGATGAGAGGATTGCTACCACTCATGTCTGTGAGATGAATACGAAGCTAACGCCCGTAGATAGTTAGTTTAGCTTAGCACAAAGACTGGAAACGGGGAAAAGCTAGCCTGGCTCTGTCTAAAAGTAATAAAATCTGCTTGTGAAGCTAGTAACTAACATATTATATCTCATGGGTTTAATCCATCTAAAAACAAAATGTACTATAATGTATAAAACGTGTTGTTTTTACTGCGCATACGTAAATAAAAGTGTGAATTAGTGACCTTTACAGGTGCTGGTTACCTTTGGAGAGAGCCATGCTAGCTGTTTCTTGATGTTTCAAGTCTTTGTGCTTTTTGGGAAGTGATGTGTCTCACATTTTTACACTAAGCGGCTCTTGACAATTCATTCTGCACACATGCCCTGTCAGGTTGCTGAAGGTATTTGACCTAATGACTTAATGCCAAATGTTCCAGTGAGTGAAACCAAGCCACTAAAGTCTCTGATTGTAATTTAGACACTGCCAGAATGTGAGATACATTTGCCAGTAACTTGAACATTATTAGATAACCTCTCAGTCAACACCTTTTGCACATTAGTGTGTGTACATGTGTGTGTTTTTGTATAGTACAGTAGAGTAGAATAGAGTTTAAGCAGTTTTATATTGTACAGCAGCATGCTTTGTAATATACATGTGTTGTTTATATTCCTCTTATAGCACAGCAGCTATGTATCTATGTATATTTATTAAGTCATAGTGTGCATTATTGAGTGTGCATTATCTATCATAGTGTGCATTATTGAGCCTGTAACTTGTGAATCATCATGTGCATTACTGAGTAGGATGTGATGTAATTGGTCATGTCAGTAGGCTTTCATTGAGTCTCACAGATTATGACACTGCTTATATGAAGTGCACTTTATCTAATGACACTTGTGATTGTTGTTGCTCTCTTTTCATACATTCAGATGTATATAATAAATTTAAGATGACATGGCTGATTTTCTTTGAGTCTTACAACAAAATATTGATGACTGAGGTGACATTCAGCACATACTAACTTCCAGACAAACTAAATTGATTGTTGACTGCAGTCATATTGTCATGTCTGATATTATTTCACTTAACAGTAGTTTACTTCTGTAACTCTGAAGATGTAACACGAAACTGAAGTACAAAGGCACAGAACAGTAAAAAAAGAATTGAGAAAAAGCTGACTGGGTATACTGTAATAGATGGTGTAATATCTTCATTTAATGTATTTTAATCATTTTACAACAAAAATTGACAGACCTTTAGAAAAAGTTGAGGGAATATAAGGTAAAAATACAGCAGCCTATCAACAAACAAACTCCATTATTTCCGTTAATTATTAAATTAACCATTTGGTAGTAATTAAAAAGTCAACTAAAGTCAAAAGCTGAGATGGCAGTGGACTTTAATAGCATTGAGCAGTTTTTATTTCCCTTGGCTGGATTCATCTGCTGCCTTAGGGATATCAAATTAAATTACTCAGATATTTATCAGAATAAAATGTATTGAACAACAGATAACAACTAGGTTGGAAAGCTCAATGTAGCTTTAGTCAAGGCTAGCTGTCACCAGCTAGCTTGAACTGGATTTGGTATCTTACCTATGTAAATGGTTTTTAGCTTTGTTTTGTTGTAGCTGCACATTTAACATATTTTATACACAGTATACATTTCTATGGCATAAAATAATTATTCTGGTCTTAGATTCCAACCTTGATTCTCGTGTCTAGTATGGACTAAATACGTATGTACTGCATTTTGGCTTCATACAGTAGATAAGTGATTCCCAACCAGGGGGTACTTGTACCGCAGCGGGTAATTCTGCAGTTACCATGGGGTATATTCAGAAAGACTGAAGACAGCTCAATCCATTTGTGTACAGAGCAAGCAGTCAAGTGAATAAATGAGACGGACAGCTAATTATTAGCTGTATTTAAACTATTTACCTATAACTTCTTATAGTAATGCTTTAGTTCCTACCATTTCTATCTACAGAGGGAGCAAGTAGGTCCTATGGAAGCTATAAGACCTATCGAATAATTGGAAAATGTATTTGTAAAAAAACAAAACAAGAATAAGAAAAGATAACTTATATACTGTATATTTATAGTTAGTATTTATAGTTTACGTCTCCCTCATACAATGTAATGTTGTCCGTGTTTTTGTTTCGTGTTATTTTTTACAATGTTATATTTCATATTGATTGGCTTTTTTATCTTCTCTTTTTGTATCTCTGTTTATTATTAGTTAATATTGGTAGGTTAAAATGATAATTTTTCAGTGTTAAAATATGGAAATATTGTACAATGTAATGCAATGTTTGAACAACAAAAAAACAAAAGAAAGAAAGATTGTCACAGGTCACCAATTACAGACACTAGATGTCACTTAATCCTACACACTGGTCCTTTAAATGTTTAAATAGAAAGCTAAAAGTAATGGATACATTGTTAAAATTGCTAGCTGAAAGTATTAGGAAAAATCTCCAAAGACCTAAAGTAGTGGATCCAATACTGTAAATTGCTTTAAGTAATTAATGAAAGTTAGGTAATGGCTAAATGTCAAGTTTCTACCACTCCCAAGTGATAGCAGTACAAATGTCAACATGTCCAAACTGACCTTAACATTTACAGAAACTGTATTAAAAGAAAATATAACACCCAGTATACAATCAGTTCAAATGGACATGTTTGGAACATGTTGTTCCAAGGGGTACTTTAGTTCATCGGACAGGGCTGTGAGGGTACATTAGAGAAAAAGGTTAGAAACCACTGTTGCTGGTTAGTAATCAGTTTGTCCTGTAGAGGGAGCAGTAGGACCACTATAGTTGCACCAGTGGTCAGCTGGGTCACCAATTCAAACTGCATTAACATTTAGAATGATGCAACTTTACCTGAGTAGTTTCTACATTACACTTCATTTTTATATACGTTGGAACAAAGAATATACACATATAGGATTTAAAGGGGCAATCCAACCAATTTTACACATGAAGAGGAAGAGAGTAAACACTTACTTCTGTGACTTCTGTGGCTCTAAAACAGGGGTCTCAAACTCAGATTTGCTTGGGGCCACTGCTGGTATTGTCGTCTATCAGGTGGGCCACTTTAATGTTCAAGTATTACAAGAAAGCATTCTGAGAGTATTTCCACCACTATCAAGATTTTGATATCATCATTTAATATCATCTTAATAAAGCCGCACAACCTGCTCTCTTTTTATCAGCTGTTTGATGCATTTGCAGGCCCCTTGGACCTTTCCCATTATTTTGCACCAAACAAAATACATTTAAAAAAAATAGAATTATGTTATGTAATAATTTTTTTTTTATAGTAACTTGTGGGCCAGATTATATTATATTTTTTGACATCATGTTGTGGGCCAGATTAAAGGGATTCAGGGCCGGAAATGGTCCCCAGGCCCCTGCTCTAGCAGAAATTTGTCAGGTCTGATAACCCCCTCAATATCATCAGGGTTGTTCTCACTTGAGCCTGGAAAAGACAAGTTTATTACATAAAACCTGCGTAACAAACTTATGGCCATTTGTGAGGCAGGGTAAACCTAAAGAAACATGCTACTGAGTTGCATTATGGGAAGTGCAGGATCAAGTGTTTTAGAGCTTAACCCATACAAAGCTCAAAAGTCAGGATATAGCTCTCTGCTATGTGAGTTTCAACTTAATTTAACCCAGTTTGTGGAATCACAATACTAAATCACAGAAATACTAGGCAATTTTTATAAATATAGCTTTTTGTCATGTTTCCTAAACTTTTCATTATATCTTGACAGGAGTACAGAACACAGATAATATGTGAAAAAATCAGGTCACTCTGGTTCCTCCTAGTGCTCCTAATGGTAATTGCAAGAATCCACCGGGCCTGAAAAAAAACAACCAATCAGAGCTGAGAAAGATATGAAGATGCTTTGGGTTTGTGGCTTGAACATAGTTGATTGTTGAGTGTCATGTCCAGCATCAGTATTTGATGCCTGTGAATGAGATTCAACAATCAACGATCTTTCTTGGCTCTGATTGGCTGTCAGGATATAATGAATTTTAGGAAACATGACAAAGTTTTTTTTATAACATTTTTTATAAAAATTACCTACTGCAGTTTTAAAATTGTTAAGCTTTGTAATTTAACAGTTTTGATGATTTCACACAACAGATTTCTCTCTGGCCTTGTGTCTTTTTTTCTTGTTGGTTTAACCTGGGTGGGGCTGGGTCGGAGAAACATGATGTCACCAATCAGGATTTAACTACATCTGAATCAAAATGTCATGAGACTGTCTGCTCCTGTTGCCAGGCTACTGCCAATCAAATCAAAGCACACGCCCACGGCCCTGATAAAGTAGATTAGCTGAGTTCTTGACAATTAAAATATATTATTTAGCCATTAATATTTATTTTCTTAAAGAAATACTTCAGATTCAAAGCCATGTTTGCAGGGGCTTTAATTTTAATTAAGTAACACAATAATTTGTCAACACATCAAAAAGAAAGAGTTTTAGTATGGACCCCCAGGAAGCTAACAGGAATCCAATTTAAGAATAAAGAGTAACAATAATATCTAAATAAACTATTTTACATATAACATGATTTTAAAATGAGTTAAAGGAAAATATGAGTGAAACTATGATTATATTATATATATGATTACATAGTGTTAATTCAGTTGAGCAGAACTACAGCAGCAGTTCATCACATCTGTAACATTCATCACATTCATCTTATCGGCCTTTCTGTTACGCTGTATACATTAAATTTTCAAAATGATATCCATCACAGTGGATGTAGATGATTTTACCAAGAACATTTCACTTTAAGACTGCAGTCTTTGGAGTTGCCATGTATGCTAAAGCCATATAACCACTGTCTCTGATTTATAGAAGCACATTAATAATCTCTTTAAAAACTGTCAACATCCTCAACATGTAGACAGTTCAGCATCAAAACAAAACAAACATCACTCACTAGTACTCTTCCACCCCCTCTGCTTCCTTCTAAATCCCCATCATCCTGCCAATGGTCTTTTAATAGGCACCTCCTCCTGTCCTATTAAACGTGTGTGTGTGTGTG